GGGTGGCATCTTTACTCTATTGATAGTTGGCGAAAGCCAGTTGCAGGTGGCAACAATCTGCCTTGAATTTATTGAGACGTCTACTTTTTTCTGAAATGGAAACACGCGTCATACTTTAGAGGTCGGCGTGGGTAGTTCCCAGGTCACGGTGCTCGTCGGTCTTGTTGAGGATCTCGTTGATGGTCTGGTCCCACAGGCGGCGGGCGCACTGGTAGCGCAGCGGCAGGGAGTCTCGATCCTTGATGATCAGGTCGTCCTCGACGATCTCGCCCGTGCACCCGTCGGCCAGGTCTTCCTCGTTAGTCGCTGCGTCGGGACACCTTTGCAGTGGATATCGGATGGGTGACAGGGAAAAATATAAGGAAAAAAATTCACATGGTTTTACATTATAAAAAAATGATATTTTTATTTATGACGTCGACGGTTGAACTCGGTGCACTGACAGGGGAAAATATATCACATGGTCTCCCCATACTAAAAAATGCTATTTTTTTATGACGTCGACCGGTAAACACGGTGTACTTTTGTGACATATGGGTAACTATTTTACAGCAACAGTCGGATGCATCCGCGCACCCATGTCTAGGTAACTACGCACACACACGACTGGTCACTACACAATCACGTTCCGATGTAAACGGGTGTACACATGATTTACCCCGATAAGGCTGGCGGGGGCGACGGTGACGTGCATGAACTTCTTGCCGTCCGAAGACTTGGCACCAGCGCAAAGACGTCACACCGCGTGGATAATATTCCACTCTGACAATAACAGCAAGCAAAAAGGGCATTGTTGTGGAGAGATTTAGCGGTTGCGGTTGCGATGCAGTTTCATGCCAGGCCTTCATGCAGCACCTGAACAACATTCAGGCACACATCAGGCGGAAACCACTTGATACAATCAAAGAAAGAACTTTCTTTTACCTCTGTAGCCGCGGCTGTTGACCTGATCGGTTGGGATCCCGAGCGAAGGAGTACCTCCCATCGGGGCGAGGCAGAGCTGGCACGGCTTGGGGTACGTTGTCGACGGGGTGAGGATGGTGCAGGATAAGCTACAACTGTCCGCGTTGCGGTTGTTGGTACGGTCGCAAGGGGCAAACTTGCCTTTACCGTCGCGCTTGTTTATGAGCTTGAGGTGACCGCCGTCGCAGTCGGGCCCGGGGCAAGGTCAGTTCGGGTCGCCCGGTTGTACAGGGCGGCGGTACACTACACTACGACTCGCTGACTGGGTGGACTAACGCTTTGCTGGGGAGCTACGGGAGAGGGCGTTCAGAGAGGGCGTTCATGTTGTGTTGCAGCTGGAGGTCGACGCGGGAATGAGAGGAGAGGATGTCGAAAGTGAGAGTGACCGGGATGTACACTCTTTCATTCACAGTTTCCCATCTCTTCAGCCACGCCAACTTTCAAGATTTTGACTAACTTCTGACTAACTTCCAGCAGATATTCTAACTTCTGACACACCTCCAGCAGTTATCCCATGAATTGTGCACTCTTTCATTCACTCTGCATAGATTATCTTCTGACTAAACTTCCAACAATTATTCTAACTTCCGACTATTGTAACTTCCACCAATTGAAACGGTGTGATATCACGAAAAGGTGATCTCTGCATATATACATACCATGTAGCGCAGTCTACAGCAGCACCTTCAATACAACAACAGCAGTACAACAACAACAGCAGTGTTCACAGTATTACAGAAGACATATGCCTACAACCTTGCAGCACTTGCAGCAATTGATGATGCCGTGAGATTTGCGTGCATGTTCAAGCTCAAAACAGAGCAAGTTAAGTCTAAAGCTGTGGCGTACCACAACAACAACGATCAATCTACATTTGTCAAATCTTCCTTGCTACATTCCCTTGAAGCCTACTACTGAGGACGAGGGCGCCTCTGCGCCCGAAGTCCGGAGCCCTTGTAATATTGTAATATTATTTGTATCCACCTCCTCCTTGTCACACCTGCTGCAGCACCTACTCATACCACCTAAAAAAATAAAACTCCTAGAGGACCAGCACGGTTGCCCGAGGAAAGCTGCGATACATTCAATCTATTGTCTACGTCCTCACAGCGCCAAGCAGAATGCTCGAAAACGTTGCAGCTTACGCTGAATCCGCACAGACGCATAACATAAGATCGTCTGTAATCGTTTGTCTATTATCGTACGTAAAGGGGCTCCGCGAGAAAAACACGGAGACCAACCGGCGCCACACAAGTACCAATCGGAGACGACGAGCCCGTCCCTGTTGATTCCACACCACCGGTGCAGATAGGGGACGAGGGGTTGAACGGGCAGGGAAGCGAAGTGCACTGCGAACCGTCTGCGGAACAAGGACCGCACAGCGACACGGAGCACGAATACGACCCGGATCCGGAATCTGAACCACACCGGACGCGGCCTTGACCCGACCCAAGTACAGGTACGTAATTTTGGCATCACTACGCGTGAAAACAAGGGCTGACAGATGTTCCTTTAGAGAGAGAACGAGACCTTCCAACCCAAGCTCTAGCTTGCCCGGCGCGTGCTTTCACCGGTTGAGTGCTTTCACAGGTGGGCGAGGTGCTTCTTCCGCCCTTGCCCCTAGTAGCGCTTTGCACCCAAGTACAGGGAGACGCGGCGCAACCGCGCTGTTAACCTGCGGTATCGTCCCGCGATTCTACCCGGCATTCCCCTCTTTCAAAGCATGCGCACTAAATACAGAAAACTACGTAATACTGCTGTAGTTCTCCCCGTGTGTCCCGGTACCCCCCAGGTAGAGGAGTTCAAAAGAAGGAGAAAGCCATGCCATCATTCGCGAGGTAAAGCGCGAGAAGAAGATGGGGCAAAAGGTGGCCCCAAAAATCGATGGACGCGGGTAGCCTTTGGCTAACCATACCCTACAGTAGGATGGGAAAGACTATGTAGTGTAGTAGTCTGCATGAAATTCATCCCTGTTTCAGTACCTGTTTCTTTTGTGTACCAGAGAGTCCTACCGGGTTCCAGGAAGGTTGTTTCACTGCACAGCCTGTCAACACGATGGAAGCGGGGCCGTAAGTCTTATTTCCTTGATTCTATGTGCAATGGCCCCGCCCAAACACGTTTGTAGTGGCACCCTTTCAGCGGAGGCCATCTCGCGTTTTACTGTAGGTCCGGATATGCTACATGAGGGCGAACGTCCTTCTTTCTGTCTATCAAGGGGGGAGGGATAAATTCTCATCACATATCTCGAGGGCAGAGCAGCTGCGACATGAAAACCAAGTTCCTTCTCGGCCGAGAACTTTTTCAATGCTTCATGCACATGTGCCTGTGGCTTGTGCCGTTGACTTGAATCAGCCGCCTGGAACCACCGCTGCACCATTTCGCAACGGCTTGCCCTGCACACCGCACAACAAGTTGATGCCCACGAGTATGTCCATGACGTAGACGGCATCTCCATATGGGTCCAGTTCTATGCATACTTGACCTACTTCCGAGTACACGTCCACCCTTGGAGGCTTTCCGAGGGTCGCGCTCCCGGTACGACCGCCATTGCTGCCGGTCTGGATCCCAACAACGCGGAGTCTTGGTGAGAAGAACGCGGGCTATGGTGCACAGCCTCTTCCGAGAGTTAGTCACTGATGCGGCGTGCGCGGGGGTTGTCTGGAGATGGGCAATGACCCTCGCCGTTCAAATACAGCATTTTTCTTTTTGAGAGCGACCAAAAAAAGGGCGCGCGCCTGTTAAATGGAGATGTCTTTCTGATTCTTTCCAACGAAAGAACGGGAGATGCTGGAGCGGACGCGACGAGGTCTCATCAAAACAACATATTTTCCCCAGAAGCCGCGACTTTACCAACATGATAAAACATGGGAAGAGGCGCCATGGCCTACTGCCAATCACGCGCTGCTCGTCTACCACCTTCGAGCAATACCTAAGGTAAAATCTCGTGCTTCCGTCGTACTGCTGAATATGTGTTCGACCTATAATCAGGCGTGTAATGTACCAAATTTCCGCTGCAATCCGATCACCAAGAAACGTAGCTGCCTGACGCGGTGTAGCTTACCCGTTCCCGTCGGAGAGGTCGTGCATCTTGGCTACACAGAACTGGTTGTGCTTCATGTGCGAGATTCCCTAGGAAGCACAACACGCTTTAAGCATTGTGCAGCATTACGGCGTGTGGAGATCGATGATGAGCGTTTTCCAGGAAAGAGGGACCCTCGGCAAGAAGTCAACCTCTGCTCCACCGCATCAATAACGCAGAAATCGGTTTTCACGCCACAGCAGGCGATAGCTGCTCAAACAACAGTGACAAGTCTTGAAATCGTCTCAGCTACACAGAACTGCTGGTGATTCTCGGAGGTTCGCAGTGTGGGCTGAGATCGGCTGTGAGGCCCGGTCGGGCAAGGGATGGGCAATGCTTAAGACCTGGAGAGACCCAAGCTAGAGCTTGGGAATGTACGAGGGTTGCGGTCATCATGTGGTCGAAGAAACATTTGCCAGTTTTCTCGAGCACTAGCAGCAGCAGGGCCATGGGCAGAATCGCACGAATCGACTGCGCCTCTGGAGTGGTCCGACTCGCGATCGACGAAGCTGGGGGCTCCAATCGGTTGCGAGTGGGGAGGCTGCAATCAAACTGGGAGAAAGAGCAATCGCCATCCATATCCTGTGCCACAGCTCGGATGCCGACGGCCTGGTGCCGGATCGAAAAAATGACTTCTTCAACGTCGACATCAACAGCAACGACAACACGGCACCCCGCCCATCCGCCCATCCGCCCATCGTGCAGACAATTGTGGCCCATTGTGTTCTCTCCGGTATTTCACCCTTATCCCAGCGTTGAACCGCATTGACTCCCGTGCCTCGACTATGGACCCGTAATGCACGCCACCCCATACAGGGTAGCAAATGCTTGACTAGGCCATGTGACGACGAGGTTTTCCGTACACATCAAGGACTCAACACCTCCGGAAATTTTCTTTGCTCGGCGTGTCCTCAGGGGACATGGCGGCGCTCTACCATGCTCCCCGCAACCTCGGTCCACGAATCCCCACAGAACCCGGCATACAAAATCAGATATCCGCCCCCCCGTGTTACTCGTCTTTCCGTTGGCAGCCGTTCTATTTCTTTCTCGACAGTGGTGGTGCACCGAAATACTTGCTCCATCCACTATATGCGAATTCTCAGGGTTTGTTTGGACCCTAGCCCTAACCTTCCCGTTTGTCTTCTATACTCGTTCATCTCTCCATCGACATCTACACAACATCTTCGCTCTCGTTTGTCTGTCTCAGCCTAACCTCAGGGTTGTCCTTGGTAACGGCGAAGCTGTTGAATATCTGCTCCAGCGTCGTCTGTCCCACAGCATACGAAGCAAGACCGAGCTGCGACAAGCAAATCGATCATCGCGTCACACAGATCAGAGGTAGGGTCAGGTGCTAGCTTGTTCGGGGTGGGTTCAGAGCAAAGTTGGCCTGTCCTGGCCGGTACAAGGCGGTATTGACGCGCATTCATTCCTGGAGGAAACGAGGGTTAATTAATGGTGTCAAACACCCTGGAGTGGGAGGCCGCTTTCTCGTGCTCGTCAAAAGTGAACCGAAGGGCTTCAAGACACAACCAGGAGCACGCACCAGAGCTCCCACGAGCAAGGAAAAATAAAAGGATGCCTTGCGAGGAAAGACATCCGCGTATAAGGACACCACATATTTGGATTAAACGGTTGCTCTGATTGATCGTCAAAAGGCTGATGTGCACACAGGTAGAATACCCACGCCGAACCTGAACTTGAAAATGTAGCTGCAAACCTACCGTATCGGCATGGATACTCGGGCCGCTAGCGACCGGCAGGACATCTTGGAGAAGGTTCCTCGTGATTGAAACACAACTGTGTGCTAGTAGTTGGTCACGGGCGTGCTTAGCATTCCGGTGTGTCGAGAAGCCATGGGAACAGGGATCCGCAAAAACGGTCGAATGCTAAACACCATGGTTGAAATACCGATGACTAAAAGAGAGAAGACCTCGATATTACATCTCTACCATCCAGAAAAAACGGCGTAACGACCTGCCAATTTTGTAATTGTTCACTCGGTGGTCGAATTGTTATTGACTTGGACAATGACAAGGAACAGGGAGAATGTGGTTCTGGCTCCAGGTGGAGGGTTTACTCGTGAAACTTTGCGACACCTACACGATAGAATATACTCTATGAATTGCCCTGCTCACGCAGTTGTGTGGTAGTAGTTGGTCACGGACGTGCTTGCATTGCGGTGTCTCAAAACGCAAGCCATGGGAACAGCGATCCGCAAAAACGGCCGAACAACAACAACAACAACAACAACAACAACAAAACAACAATGGTTGAAATACCGATGACTAAAAGAGAGAAGACCTCGATATTACATCTCTACCATGCAGAAAAAACGGCGTAACGACCAGCCAATTTTGTCATTGTTCACTTGGTGGTCGAATTTTCATGGACTTGGACAATGATAAGGAACAGGGAATGTGGTTCTGGTTCCAGGTGGAGAATTTGCTCGTGAAACTTTGCGACACCTACACGACAGAATATCAACAGTTATACATTTGTGTTGGCTGGTCGTTAGCAGTGGAGGCTGTTCGGGTGTTCTTTTCTCTTCTGTTTCCAGGCGGCTGTTTGACTTGGAGAGTCCTTCATGTTCTTTGAAGCAGCTGTAACGTTCTTTTCTTCTTTCTAGCACAACAGTAGCGGGTAGAACAGCGAAGAACACCTTGCTTGGTCACAGGTATCCGTATACAGCAGTTTCGAAAACGCACACGTCTACATTCCGTGGTCGCGCTTGCTGCACGCTGGAGGATCAACAAACACGCCCGCCCGCGAGAAAGGTCTGAACCGCTTAGGAAAGCGGGTAGGCCATTCAAGTCCTGTAGCAATCTAAGAGGTGGGACGGTGTTGTGGCTCGAAGCCCGTCTGATTGATGGTGCGAGGTTACCTGTCTGTCGGTCGGTCCCATTTGCCCTCTCTTCAACTCAGAACAACACTCGCCGCCTGTTTGTTTTCTCTTTTCTGCTGCTGTCGTCGACTCCCAGACGTTTGTGTCGCTGTGCTGCTGCTGATGCTGCTATTTTATTCTGCTGCTCGGGTCTTGGCTGCTTATTGATACACCTCCTCCCTGGCTCTCACCCTTCGTGAGGAGGAGGCAAGAAAACGCTGTGGAACATGGTTAACAAGCACCCACGACTCACGACCCGCAGCAGCTCAGGCTTGCACCAAGTCGGAACGTTGGACCGAACATAGAACGACGTTGTATGAACGTAGAACACATAGTGACAAAACAGTTCAGCGCCCAGGTCGCTGCGGACGTGAGTTCGTTTCGAAATATTTTTTCCAGTCTGTTTGACTTTTAGAAAGTATACCCCCGTCGTGGTGGGTGCAGTACTTCATGCGTGTACTATGTACTACGGAGTACGTGACGGTGTGGCTTTTATGTGCTTACGTGTTCCATTTTTCTTTGAATATTTGAAAAACACACAACACGCGCGCTATTCCTATCTGGATTCATTCGATCCGTTCCACCTTCATATACATCCATCCATTTTCTTCGGCATGTGTGGCCTCTTCTCTCCGGAATGTGCGACACACACCATGATGCTACGGTCACTGCCCTACAACATACTGTTTGCACGCTAAACGCGCAAATACAACGCTTCTCCGCCCGCCTGTCGGGACGGTATGTGTGTGCGTTTCCTGGGCGACAATACGGCTCTGATGAATTTCAAGCCGTTCGGCGGCCAGGAATCCGCGGCGGTGGGAGACGAAGAATCAGAAAAAGACAAATCAATGCGGAGTGAGTGTGGGAGGAACGAACAATGCGTACTAAAAAATATCTGTGTTTGCTCTTTGCATGTTCTCGCATCACCCCCTGTCGCGGTGCTCTCTTTACCCCACTCCGGAGGGACGCCTTGTATAGCCAATAAATTGCCCTGCTCACGCAGTACTGCCTCCAATTCGAGGTCCACTTTCCTTTCAACGTGCGTGGTTACAACGAACCAAGTGTGCTCCACATCAAACGGTGCAAGACATAACTTGCGCGAACAGTCCGCGCGGCTGTTGCCGAACTACAGGCGGGAGTTACCGAGGCGTGCTGCGGCAGCAACGACACTCGCCCGATTTGCAGATGAACGGGCTTGTCTAGCGTCAACTACCTGGCGATGACTCTACTTACTTGATTTGTGTCCACCGCAGTGTTGTTGTAAATTTCGGCCAAGCTAGTAGATGGGCCTTCGCCTCGGCGGAACGTTAAGGCCGTGTGCCTATCTTGTGATCGCGTCTTTTGGCGGCAGCATGGTCCTCTCGTACATCATAGTCGTAGTAATCTTGCAAAGTAGGAGCAGCGGGTCTGAGTACAACTTCTTTTACATACGTATCCGCGGCGGAGCTGCATGTATGTCCAGCAGCAAGCAGTATCGAAAGAGCGATTTGGTCCAGTAGGGCACTATACATACGACTCTGTCGGGGGGTCGTCCTGTTGGGTATCGCAAACGCGAGGAAGGTCACCGGCAGCCCACAGTGTGATTCAGCAGAGCGGTAATGCAGAGAGGATGTGCTGTGCTACAATATGAGGTTGTATGTTTGGCGGCGGTTTCATCGACGGAAAGAGACAAAAATCCAAAAACAGATTGCTGATGATGATGCAAGTTACCTCAGTACAGCAGTGTGGTTAGTTGGAGACATCGGCAGCAGCAGTAGTATTGATAGAGCGATCTGTTCCAATAAACGGGGAATTGACTATACGCCTCTGTTGTGGGGTCGTCCTGTTTGATATCGCAAATGCAAGAAAGGCCCCCGGCAGTCCACTGCATGCTTCAGCACCAACCACAGCGCTCATGTGTGGAACGGGTGATGTGTGCCATGTGCGATGGGTTTAAACGTAAATATTTTTTGAACGACTTCATGGAAAAGAAAACTTGCCGGTGTGCTAGGAAAAGCCACGTCAGACGGAGGCAATCGAAGACTACCCGACACGCACCAAAAAAGAGGAGTGTGCCCCACACAGGTACGCTAGAGCTGTAATGAGCACTAACACCAGCTAGATGCGGGGAGGACTGCTGTATGGGAACATGATGTCTTGCGGAAGGCGGGCGAGGTCGAGACGACATGCGTAACCGGGGCAAAAACGTGGCGAAAACCAAAAAACAGGCGAACAAAATAGCTTGTTGATGCCGTGCTTCGACACATGTTTTCGTCACATACAAGCGTCGACAGCCCAACGTGAAGGGATGCGCACGTAGCCCTTTCGATGCTCGTTTTCGGGGGCTGCTTACTTCGCCAATTGACAGCCAAAAAATGCCGACAGGCTCGTTGCAGCGTTCCGAGGGAGGTGTTGCAGATGGGGCAAGAAACCAGACGACAGCGGCGGGAGGGGGCGCGTGACGGGGAACCTATACCCCGTTCGGTCCATGCGTTGCTGTTTGCGTTTTCCGGTAGCACAAACCTTGCTTGTACGTCGTGATCCGACCAGGGAAATGACCCAAGGACATGGGCATCGAACACAGTGTAGTTCTAGCTCCACATCGAAGTAAGATTTGTGTCGAGGGGATGAGTACATATCGAGAAATTGCGGTCTGATTGTTGCTGGCAGGCGACGTCGCCCGACAGGAGAGTTAATGTGCGATCACATGCGGCGTGTAGATCGGGTTGTTTTGCAACTTGGCCCACAGTTGTGTCTACAGGGTCATCCCCGACACTCAAAGTTTGGCTGACGTAGGTGAGCAGGCTGGGGAGTTGTCCATGCTGGAAAATAACGGTTGGATCCGACGCGGGCGGCGGAATAGCGGCCGGATTTGACCCAACCACTTTTTGAAAGCGTGTTCGCTTTGCTCGCCACCGGCGTTGTCGAGGCTCGCGGGGTACCCCTATTCTGTCCTAGCCCATCGAACCGTGGCTAGGCATGGGGCTGAATATTGCTCGGCTGTGGAGAGCATCGTGGGGGGGGGGGGGGCGTGGATTGAGCTCCAGGGGCGTGGCAGCTGTGACGAGCTGGTTATTTGAACTTTTTCACTTCTTCGCCTGCGATGCCAAGAGAAACGTTAGCTGCGTTGGCGGCGACTGGTGTGTCCGGACGAGGCGCTGTGAACCTCGTGGTCGTATCTTCGTTGAGCTCGGAGAATTCGGTCGCGGCGAAAAAGCGAGAAAAGCAGAGACACTAAAAATATGTCAACAGGATACTGGTGTGGGCAGAAGCAAGACAAAATGCCTGCGCTTGACACCGGTGTCGCTTCGATTGAAGTTCCTTGGACACGGTCGTCCAGGCGGAGGTCGCGCGAAGGCACCGCCGCGATTTCGTGCGCAGTTTTCGCGAGCTGAGAGAAGTCGGCAGCGTAGAAAAACGCGCTCAAAAAAACATATTACGAAAACCGCGGACAAGATTTAAGTTACGTTGCGTTGTTTCCACAGCAGGAACCACTCCTATTCGGATTGGAATTATTCATAAGGCACACATTCTTCCTCCGCACTCTTGAGGGCTGAGATCACATGGAATATTGAGCGCTTCGGCCCTTAACTCGACTTTTCTCTCTTAGACTCGAAAACCGATTCTTGGTGATTGATAGCTTTGGTTTCTGCGCACACAACGCAAAAAAATGTACTCTAACCCAAGGCGTTGCGATTGAGGTGCAGCTGCTCCCGTTTAAGCTCTCGTGGGCAACAAGAGGCGATCACCAAAGAAAACCATGATCGAAAAAAAAAACGGGAGAGTTCTTTCAAGAACTCGCTGGTTCACGGCGCCGTTTCGGACCACACCGGAGACACGATTCGACATGCGCACGAAGGTTCTCGAGGACAACGACTACCCTCGCGTGGTGCCAGAGTGCGAAGTCCACGCTTAAGAGACTGAAATGGCAACCGCGGCCAAGCGGTGTCGACATGTATTGCTTGAAAACAGGAGCACATGACACATCTTGAAAATCGACAAACAAAAATGCCGAAAAATGACACATATTCGAGCGTCGTTCATCCGGGTTCCGCCGTCCACAAGCTGCTACGAGCAATCCTGAGAACATACGCCGCCAGCCTTGCTCAAACTGATTCTCGGAAGCTCTCAACTTTGCTCGTCCTAAATGAATTGGTCCCGATAAGGGTTTGTGAGTGTTGTCATAGCAGTTTTTAGCCGGTTTGGAGCTGACTTGACTCATGCACGGGTTCTAGGCTCAAACTTCAAGGTGCGCCGAAATCACGCTCGCGCGTGTTTTGAGACTAACTCAGCTGGGGCGAACAAAGTATAGAGCTTCCGAGAATCTGTGTGAGTAGGGCTAGAGGAGAGTAATCTCGAGACGTCATGCGACGGCTTGTGGGTGGTGGCAGAGCGGATGGAAACAACGCCAAGAACGGCCTCTGTTGACACCGATTACTTTTTCTGCCTGTTTCTCGTACATTGCATGGATATGTTCCTACTCTACTGCCGCTGTCAACGCATACAAATGCACGTGCTGCTGCTCTAATTGACGGCTTTTTTTTTAAATAAACAAAGCCTTTTTTGTGGTGCCTCCGACCCACCAGCGCAGTGTATATGATACTCTGCTCGTGGTCTGGTGGCTATGTACTGTGAGCAGTGCACTTCGTACGGCTTGGTGTTGTTGACGAGTCGAGTTGTGCTTTGCAGAGTTTTGGTGATGTGAGCTGCCTGTTTTAGGAGCGTTGAGTGAATATTTGGAATCGGAAAAACATATTCGTCCAACGACCAGGGACACTTTTGGCCTGAACAATAATAATCTCGAGGTCTGACAATCGGCAATCGGGTGTTTTACACATGAAAAAGGCCGTCATCACTAGACCGGGAAGGCCATTGTTGGTACCGTGCGTGGGAGAGAAATCGCGGCCGGGCGTAAACAACAACACCATTCCGGCTTGTCTCTGTCAGAGCAGTCGTACCTTGGCCTTGGCAGCTTCGAAATGTTCGAAGACGTCTGCAAGTTTCATCCCATCCTGGTAGGGAATCTTGTACCGGCATGAGAACAAAGTCGGCCTCTCGACCAGTTCTGCATCAACGGAAACAAGGTAGGGACCGGGAAAAAACAAGGACCAATGAGCACGTCGACGACACCAGATGCATCCCCGAGACACATGTCATCGGGGCCAAGCGTAAACACGTGTCGGGCAATAGCTTTGGCACCAACCCATGAAATGAAACAAACAATATCAGCCGACTCGGTTGAAGTTGCCTTGGTCAACATTCCCATTGTTGAAAGCAATAGCCGGGAAAACCAGCACGGCGCATAACCTGGGTAGAAGTCAGACACGATTTTAACGTGCTACATGCATTCGGGGATGCGGCTACTGGTTCGTTTTATGCATTTTCATATCATGATCGTACCTGCTCCTGGAAAGGTCTCCGCTAAGAAAACGTTGAGGTCGTCAGCCCTCTGCTCGCAGAGGTACCAGTCGATGAATAGCCTGATTTCCAAACAATACCGAACACCACCAAAAAACAAGATGGGCCAGCGGAAGGTAAGGGTCGGGGCGAACGATGCATTGTAGTGCACAATGGTACGACTCTTCGGATGTTGACCACATCAGACCTATACAGAAATTAATCTGCACTGGCGGCACCGTCGGAGCGAAATAAAAAAATGGGTACAACGTACTCCCGCCAGCGCACCTGGTAGGCAAGGTTCCTCCTTCCGAGCCAAGCACGTCTTGGAGAAACGCACCGCTCCCGCTTTTTAGAGCAGTTTCCAACGCCTCAGCTCTGCCAAAGCCGAATTGAAAAAGGTCACGTGTTAAACAACCGCACGTAGATACCTTCACAACACGGCGCGTTGTCAACGGCCATGTCTGGTGTGTGTCGATTGACCAAGGCAAGTACCAGCGGTTGCACAAGATAGTCAATCAAAAGGGTGTAGCTGGAGCGATGTTGGTCGAATCAATCTTCCCACCTGGTTGAAATTCAATCGATTTTGCAACAGCTCTCTTCGAAATCAATCATGCGACGCCCGACTACAGATACCACATATTCAATCGGTGTTCGTAGAAGCATACGGTACGAAAAGAACAGAACAAGAACATCCTGGGGCATGGTTTCAACCCGCTCGAGACCCGTCTATGAAGGACATCTGTTGATCCATACCTGTCAAAATCTCCTCTCGCCAGTCCGTCACAGCAAATATCCAGAGGGCCCCACAATCTCGAGCTGCGTCATCAAACATGAACCACACCGACAGAGCAGGCACCGAACGCAGTTTGTTGCGCAACGATCTACGTGATAGACTTGCGACATTAAAACATTTGACACAAGCGTCCAAGTGTGTCCAAGCCGCTTGGACCCTGACCCTGGCGAAAACAATCAAATTTCCTCAACTCCAACCCGCCCCTCAGCCAATCACAGAAAGGAACCGGTCCTTGAGAAGCTTGTGTTCAGCACTCATTCAACCCCCTAGCCGTGACGACAGACCTAAATCTCCATCAAACATATGTTCCATTTACGTGAATAACACCTTGGGTGCGGACAGTCTGCAGAAAGTACGGGGTGTCAAACTTTCGTCAAATATTGATCCTACTGTCCGGAACTGCCCCGAGTGCCCAAGCTCGCAAAGACTCGTCCTCCCACATTGGAGATTTTCTACAGTACCTCAATCAATTCGATAAATGGGATCAGATCACAATCGAAAATGTTGGAGATGGAATACCTGTCGATATCGTCACCAATTATGTTTGCGACGCCATGCGCCATCAAGAGCTGCATGACCTCTGTGGCCGCAGACGTCGACGGTGGCTGCAACTTCATGTCGGCTTCGAAGCCGCTCCCGAACCGGTGCTTGAGGTGCTGTGTGGACCCGAGACATCGCAGCCGCCCATTCACCTGTTTTTCGGACAGGGACATTGGCGCAGAAGATAGGAGATGATGAACTAGGTGTGGGGTAATCCCGAATGTCATCCACCCAAGGAAAGGTACCACACGCCGACAGCCATGCCCCAAGTCTCTGTTTAAACTCCTACCCCGATAACCATCCCACTGTCCGCCGTTGCGACCGAGGGAGGACAGCTGGGTCAGGTATGCACAAGCCTACAACTTTGTGCACGTACGAACAATGATCGGTTTCGGCGACGAGAGCAACGGCTTCTTTGTGCTACACTCGAAGTTTCAACGTACAACACCCCTGTTCATTGTCAGTCCTACCCGTTAGAGGAAAGCGAAGAAAAAGAGCAGCAGATTCAGTTCGCCGTGGGCCGCTGGAGAGATGTTAATTTCCGACCGACATTAGCGCAGCAACTGCAAATAGCTTAACAAGTACCACGGCCGACGAGCGGGGCCCAGTCCTCGGAGTATCGGATGCGTTCCACACAAGCATATATACGTATACTGACTGCATACCAAGTGGAGAGAACTGGAGATTGCGGGAAACCGTGTGATAACTCAGTGTACATTGCGGAGTGCGGCGATACAACAGCCGAAATAACGAAAGGTGCGATTTCGAAGTGTAAAGATTGGAGCGTGCGTCATGCTCCTGCAAATTGCTCTGAATCTCGAATATAGCCTTGAAACCTGGAGCACACATTCACACGACATCCCAATGATGTGTGCCTGTGCCTTTGTGAAACTTTGGCAAATACTATCGGCACTACCGCAGCACCAAAGAACGTGCTTCGCACACATAGCGTTCTCCCCCAGAGCTATATAGATAGATGTTCCGATAGACAGTGTTGGTTATTCTCACTCAGATTCAAGCAAGCTGTGTTCTTCTCAATTTAGGAAGAGACGATTTCCCCGAAAGTTCGCGCGCACTGCGTGTGGTTGGTGACGACAACACATGTCCTCAAGAGGGTGACATTTCCGGGCATATTCTATAGATGTAGGCGCAACGACGGCGTCTGCAGCGGTCTCCACGGTGCTGACAACTCGGCTGCCGCTTGGCGCCTGGACCGGCGACGGTGCGGAGAGAGCTGTCCCCGTCGGCGCAGGAAAAAGAGAGAGGCGACAGGGGTCCTGGCGCGAGCCCGCCGAAATTATGTCGAAAACGTCTTGACTGGAGAGTAGCGCGAGCGTAGTCACTTCGCCTTTAGGCATCGGGTTCTGCTTGTTAAACGCCCGAAAGTGGGAAGAACTAGATTGAGCCAAAAATAACCACCTTCACTACGTGTGCCCTGTCCACAGAAAATGTCAAAGTAATGACGAAAGGTACCGCAGTAGCAAAAACACCCGCCCGTAAAGACTTGCCACCTTTGATGCCGACCTGGGTAAACGAGCGGGGGAGGCTTCTTCGACACTTTGCTCGTGCACAGTATACCGCAGCAGAATGTGCTGCTCTCCATGTATATATGTATCTATATATTTTTCATGTCCTCACTTCAAGTCAGCGCTCACAGCACTAGTGCCGTTTACTCCAACTCGTGGTCACACAGAAGAGCCCCTCTCTACCCTCCCCTCCTGCAGTACCTTTGCCTACGATTTTTAATGCGGAGGCGAGAGAAAAACTCACTTTGCAAGCAAAGCTCGCTTACGCTGAGATTCGAACCCCTGACCTGACCTCTAGAAGGTTTCGAGGATACCAACTAGACCACCGCGGCGACCGGCTTGTTGGCGTCGCCCGAACATAATCCTCCTAACCAGCATCACTCCATCGCCGGCAGCACACTTCACAGTGGCACGAAAATCGAGAAAATCGCTTCAAGCCGCGACCGATCAACGGTGCCGAGGCAAACAAAGACCTATTGACAGCCGTGCAAAGCCCCTCCCTTACCATGATGCCGATGTTGTTGCATAGACTTTCGGCTTCCTCCATGCTATGTGTCGTCAGAATCACGGAGCACTCTCTGTCGGTGGTGGTCATCCGGCTGATGATGTCCCACATGAATCGTCTCGCGATAGGGTCCATTCCCGTAGATGGCTCCTGCGGTTCGACATTATGGTGATATGTCGTGTGTCATTGCGCGACATCGTGTTGTCTGGCGACACTGCCAACACTCTTGCGGATCGAGTGGCTTATTCTCGACATGCCGATCGGTTCATCACCCCAACAAAAATGCTAGGCATACGGTTTGTAACGATAATAATATATCACGGCCGTGCTTCTGTCTCTCGTCAATATCGCTGTACCCGACAGCTTGTCGACAAGAGCGAATCAAAACCTGGGATTGCCACCCCACGGGTCCCCATATTGCAAGGAAAAAGGTTATTGACCCATCGCCCGTAGAAAACGGGGCCCACCACAGCACAAAAAGGTAAACGGAACCTGTGCATCATAACGGTCAAACTGCGCCCTTTGAGTACTATTGCGTTTGGGCACATCAAGTTGCGCCTGGACCGCTACACACCTGCCCTGCAGTGGACGCATACGACCATTGTAGGCAATAGCAGTACGAAGGGCCACATGAGAATGCCTATCCAAGGTACTCACACCCTTGGCAGTCTACTCACATCCAAGAACACGACCCTGGGGTCTCCAATCATGGCGATTGCCACCGAAAGCTTGCGCTTGTTTCCTCCACTAAGCTCGAACGCCTGCGATGGTTGGGCCCGCAACCGAAACGGCCGAACAGAGTGAGACAGGCTGGACACAATACAAAGACTACAACACATTACGATGGCCAGGTGTGCTGTTGCACCTACTATGAATCGCAGAGTCACTCGCACCACAAAGGTAGGTCACAACCAAAGCCTGCCGAACGGATAGATAGCATGATTCATTCATGCCAGAGAGGGCATGCTGGGGAAGCAAGGGTGCGACTTCTGCACGCTAGAACGGGAGAGAATGGCGTGAGTCCATTGACGCTGTCTAAAAAAAAACAACCCCGGCGTCATTGGCCTTCCCCGACGGAAACTGAATGAAGTGCGTGTGGTCTACTCGTTACCTTCGTCTCGCGGAACGACGTCAGGTCCATCTGCTGCATCTTCTCGCCGGCCACATGCCCTATCCGGTTCTCGTTGACACCCTTGATCCGCGCGTACAGAAGCAAGTGCTCCTCCACCTAGGTCATCAAGACGAAAAAACCAACGTCGAGAATATGCTAGCATCGCCATCGCGCGGTTTGCCGTACGAAAGACAAAAAAAAACTCGCCTCGGCTTCACATGGTCCCCAGTGGAGAAACGAGAGGGGTAATCGTATCTGCCTATGCTTGGCGACAACAATAACGTCGCACCATAGGAGGAGTCACTACTGAAGCAACATCGGCCTTGATTATTGCACGGACTATCGAAGATCACAAAAGAAACCACATTCCGGTGATGACTTTCTGGGAATTATGAAAATACCATTCGGGAGGTTTCTTGGACAGATACCACCGTCGACCCCCCGGACAACATAACCTGCAGCGCGCTCGCCGCCAGTAATCACGGATGTGGTGTGTAGTAGCAACGGTGTTTGACACAGCGATTGCTTTCCAACACCATTGCTGACAGCAAAGGTATCGCGACAACAAGGGGATGATAGCAAAGGAGATGCCGTCGTATTCCCCCCGCAAGACTGGTTCTCCTTGTTGCTGGCAGTAAACGGGGTGTGACAACAACAGCGTGTGCGGCGGTGTTCCTTCCAAGAATGATATTTGTACCGGCAATGGGCAATGGCTGGTTGTTGTGACATGATGTGGTGTTTTCTCCTGCACATGGCGCTCCCGCAGCAACGGTGGGCGCTGCGCAGGCCTCAGCATGCGTTGGCATAAGAGGCGAAGGTTGTTTGTTGCTTCGCAAAACGCTCGTGATGGAGTTTGGAGGCGCCACTGCACGAGCCGCGAGTGCTTGAGAGGATGTGTTACTACCTCTCCGTACTGTCGGTGGTCTTCTCCATGCTGCTGCTGGTAGTTATGGTGGGCTTTGGGCACCCTGCATCCTGCATGTCGTCCTCCTCTGTGTGTGTGTGTGTGTGTGTGTGTGTGTGTGTGATCACCTCCCGGTTATTACCCGAGGTATGCCCAGGAGCTCCGTGGTAGAAAGCGTTGCAACTTAGGGGGGGTGCAAATCGAACGTGACCCGTGCGTTAAAATCAAAATCGCTCATCACGCTAGGAGTTCAAAAACTCTTGTCACCGGGGTCTGGTTTCCTGGATGCCGTGGCTTCTAATATGATCTACGGTAGTTCACTGGCGCGGGGGAATCTTCGGTCAAAATCAAACACCGACATCACGAAGACAATCGTCGCTAGCATCGCCCCGTAACTCTGGATCATGTCCGCCCACCTCTCAACTCACCGTCAGAAGATCCAGCAAGGCGTCATCTTGAGGGCAGTAGCCGATATACCGACGGAGTTGGTTCTGTTTGACACCATTCAAGACAGCAGCGATCAGCAATTCTAACGAATAGACCCAAATCAGCATGAAAACGTGCGCAACTACTGAAGGCTTGTTCCGAGCTAGGCCCAGGTGTTAGCTAAACCGCCGCCCGTCCTGCCCATAATCTTTCACAACTTCAGAATCTATGCGAATTAGGTTTGGCGAGAAGGGATCTAGCTGGCCACAACCTCCACAGATGACACAATTGTGTGCTGCCGATACATGGTACAAGGGGGAGGTTTTTCGTGTGCACCACCCACCATGGCCATAAAACACACAACGCGCCCAAAAATCGGCACATTGATGGGGACAAGTTAGGAGGGCACAAGAACATGATCGACTTTTTCGTGTCCTCGGTTGAGAAGGGCAAATTCCTTTTTTCTACAAGATACCCATGACGTGGAGAAACCAAGTAGTGGGTTGCGTGGGGTGCTCGCTACGAAAATGTGAGAGCATGCCAGAAAACGCTTCAGAAACACCAATACAGCAAAGGGAAATCTCTTTTTGTGCCGGGAGTCACCTGCTCCGTGAGAATGTCGTGGCCTGCGATGGATGCCTTCCCACGAGTGGGACAGATGTCTCCGGAGAGGATGCCGAGCGTTGTGCTTTTTCCTGGTGAGTCGACACACGAAACACGCACAACCGCACGGTCCGCTTCGACAGAATGAAATTTGCAGCTTCATTTCTCGGCAGTCGTGAAAAACGAAAAAATAAATGGAGATTCTTTCGCCGAGGCAACGTGAACACTTGCAACACACCTACCCCGCAAAAGATATTCACGTGATGAAATTCGATCGCTGAGCTGGCACAACAAATAACGTCTCCAATGCAGGGTACTGCCGCCCGGCGTTCCCGGATCGTCCGTGTTTTCGAGCGCTAAACATCTCGTCCACATGTGTGGATTCTTTGCTTGTGTGAGCGTTCGGTTGCTCGCCTGCACCGTTGATTCCGAGGAATCCGAAGCAGTCGCCCCTCGCCACAGAGAAGCTGAGCCCCTGCACTGCCACCTTGGGTCCCTGTGGAAGACAGGACAGCATCGTGAGCGAAAACTAAAAGACTCCGTGACTCGTCCGCGACAAACCCTGCCCAAATAGCATAGCACAGCACAGCGCAATCAGGGCGCTACGCATGACAAACTGTTGTTTCTGGAACCGATTGCATCTAGAGCTACTTTCACGCGGCGCTTAATGTTTTAAACCAACAATTCGGACGTGGGGCACAATCCATCACTTCACGTTTCTTGTCCTTTTCCGCAGCTTGCTGGGTTAGGGTAGTGAACGGATCAGGAATCCACGCCCCTAACACAGTCAGGTCCAGTTTTCTGTATTCAAGAAAAATTCATGTCATCAGAAAAAATACCTTAAGACCCATAACAACAACAACAGAAATCCGCCGTTCACTCGCCTGCTTGGTCCTGTAGACCTTCCGCAGGTTGTTAAGGATCACCTCACCACCCCCTTCCCCGTCCCTCAGCACGCCTTCCATCTCTTCCACCCGCCTAGCCTCCGCCGCCACATCCTCGTCATCCTCTTCGGGATCAGTGTCGGAGTGTCGATCGGTTTTCGGGTCCGGCCTCAACCAGCCGAGCAGCTTTGGGGACGTCTGGCCGTACTCTATTGCCAAACAGATCACCAGGTACCCTGCCGGAGTCAATTGTTTGACGAATTACGTCTTATCTGCGCTGATCGTCACTCCGTTCCACGATTCAATGCCGATCGTATTTTGAGGACGGGTACCCCACATCAGAGCACATGACCATGCGATAATGGGCCATATACTACCCTCAACCACGAAATACGCCACCAACACGTCACGAACGTCACTGTAGGGACAGAGGCGGAACAATTCTCAACACACCAAAGTATGAGTGCGCCATACGCTGAGTCGTAAGACACAACAGTTGAGGATAGGATGAGGCTTAGATCGTCGGCGTTGCCATCCACGCCCAATTGCCAAAACGACCCCGCAGCGATTTTCCATTAGGTAGACCACCGCATCCGCAAAACAAAAATACTGCTCGTATTCAAGCCAAATATCTTGTTGAAAAGGGTCCGCAAACCCCCCAAAAAAAAACTCGAACAAGTCAAACCATCGTTGTTGGTATTCCTCACCCACGCAGGAAGCCATTAAACATGCGATGTCCGCTCCCGTGATGATCGCCGAGAACGGGGTCAGCTCCTTCGGCACGCGATCTCTCCCCAGGCTAAGCACATCCACACACGTCTTGCCATTTTTGCAGAGAACCAGCTGCGCCAACCCGTCCCCCAGACAAAACCTGCCATGGTTAAACAAAAAGTGGAATGAAACCGAAGGCACCCACCACCCAAGACAATATTTGCTGTACATCCTCCAAACAAGAAATAAGAAATACGAAAAAAGAGAAGATAAAAAGTATGCCACTGGATTTGACGTTGGAGGATGTTCTGTTTGTTCGCAAATGGTGCACGTTATTTTTGCTGTTCCTTCTTTCGACGGAACACGGCGTATCGCCTTTTTGTAGGTAAGGGGAGAGATTAGTTGGGGGCATGACAACAATTACAACGACAGCTCAGGAGCCAAACCACAGGTGCAAACGGCAAAGCAAAAAAAAACTGAACAGTTCATATATCATTGCACCCCAACGGATCCGGGGGGTCTTGTCGTGAATTTCCCAACAAGGCCGGGCCACCTACATCCTAAGGTGCAAAAAGGCACAGCAAAGCAAGTCAAGAGCACCACAACCTTGGCACGCACATCATTCCTCGAGACAATGTGGCCAAGTCTCGGAGAAACTCAACTCAACAACGTTCTCACAACAAACACCCTACGAGTAGAAGTACCGTGTGAGAACAATAGCAACGTCCCCGTGATGAAGTGCACTCAAAACAACCCTACTCACAGGAAATGAGAAAACACGGAAGGGCGTGTGATAGTAATGGGGGGTGATAACGTCAACAGTGGGATGAAGCACGCTCAAAGGGGGAACCCATGTTCAGGCTGTGCTGCCGGAGGGGGGGGGGAGGGGGGGTAATAGCCAGTGCGGCACAAGCTGCTTCATGACGTTTTACTACTACCCAGTGTATGTTTCGCATAAAAACAGCGAACACAAATGAACGTGTGCCATTGGCACTCCATAGCGATTGGGTAGATATTTTGTGTGTGCAAAATGGCAGCAGCAATGTCATGTCGGGCTTGCAACGAATACACAAGCTGGAACAAAGAAGGACACAAGCAAATACCAGTAGAAACATCCCCAAGACGATCTGCCCACACAAATGAAACACAATATAAATAAAGTGTGGAGCTCGATGTGGACCCGGCATACCATGGTTTACTCGACCGCGGCATGAATAGATCGATGCTACGGGCTCACGTTCCCCCTTCGCGTTGATAACTAAATGACGTTGTGGGGCGTGGAGCCGCCGCTAGAGTCTGACGTATTGCAGACTGGGCCGCAGGGCGTTCAGCAGGGTTGCAAACTGGGTCCCAGCCGCGCAGTTTTCTCGCCCTCGTTTGCTTGTGATCACCAGCTACCAGTTACACACCGCGTGATAAGGGGGGTGCGTAGACTACATGCCGCTCGACGTTAAAAGGCATGCCATCTGAATATCAATGTGTGATCAAATCACGCATTCTTGGGGGATAAGAAAAAAGCACACAAGTGGAATTGCGAAAATTTTCGGTGGTGTGATGGCTTACACGTATACACGACGGTAGTTTGGTCGTGAAACATTGCCCTATACCTTGCCATAACAAATAAGACGAAAAAAAACAAAACACCGTCCGGGCCTCGATCATTCTCTAGCGCAACAAAATCTATATAAACCCTTCCTTTGGATTTTCTGGGACAAGCCTTCGACGCACGCGGGGAGGCGACGCGAAGCAGATATTCGCAGTGCGATCTCTACAACTCGGAACTCACCCTGGGAAAAGTCGGTAGATCCACTTCAAGCTGGCGTTGATATCCCTCGTGCTCTCGACCAGGTTGAGCACGAAGGATGTCACCATTAGAGCCAGACCGGTCACGAAGTTAATGAACAGGACCATGTTTTGGGCAGAGGACGCCGACTTGAAGAAGAAGCTTCATGGGACAAAGAAAGAAATTGAAAAAAAAGCAACAACGGAAAATTGACTGCGACAGTTTTTTCTAACGTACGGGACATATCGGCAAAGGTGCAGTAAACGAGTGTGTCACCGGAATGCTGACACGATGCTCGAGGGCCCACTTCACGTACGTCTAAACGTGCCCTCAAATAATTCAGTGCTAGTGGCACCTTCGTGATCGCGAGGGGCATGTTCTGTACCAACTTCGACCCGTTCCGAGTCCCTTCAGCCGCGCAAGCGGTCTTACGTTACACAATTCACCCGTGCCGCACTGGCGTAAGCATGTATACTAAATTGTCTTACCGAACCGATACTCCTCTAAAAACCATTGCCTCAAGTCAACTCGCGCCACACCAGGTCGCGTCACGTACTTCTATGCCACAAGTTGGTCCATGACGCATCGCAAAGTACACGTTAGACATGTACAGCCTGCGCCGCGGTGGAATGAACACAAACGTAGGCCAAACTTTCACAAAAAAAAAGCGGGGCAGCTGCTACTGCGTGACTTGTTGTGTTAAGGGCTAAAACACCTCAAGTCCTGATCAAGCAACAGACCTGATGCAGTACGTGAAAGGTGCAACAGCTGGACCGTAGAGCAGGAAGAGGAGAGCCGTAGCGCTGGCAGACTCGTTAGTGGTATAACCTACAACGTGAGCACAAACGGTAAAAATAGTTCAATACCGAAAAAACAAATAGAAGGAAATGCCACTACCCAACCAGCTACGGCAGGAGCAGGAGCAGCAAGTCGCCGAGAGAGGTGTTAAGTGCTTTTTTAACCTCAAGATACGTACACTTGTTGTCAAAACCGTGCGTTGGTCCGGAAGAGAGCACAATAATACCTACAATGAGACGATCGTACGAAGACAACAACCACAACCCAGGCGATAAGACAAACACATCAGAGCATGTCAAAAAACAATAACAACAAGAACCAAAAACCAGTTAGATTTTTAATAGTGATGTGTTTGGTACTTTCATAGACGAGAGACTGGAAATGAGCACAACCAGGTGCAGCAAGTGGGACAAAAAGGATGCTTCCCATCAAATCTAGCTACTACAAGGAGCCATCATCAGCCAATGAGACTCACTCTCGATATCGAAGGCGTAGAGGAGGCCCAGGAATACGGAGCAAGGGATGAGATAGGTCACCACATCAAACACGAACGTGCTCGACCAGTAGGCTGCGATCCCTACTCCGGAGATGATCTGATGAAAAACGAGGTGTTTATGGGATGTGTGCAGCAACTTGAAGCGTCAGCATTAGTGACATGTACGTTGTGGTCTGCACTCGAACCAACATCAGTTGTTGGCGACACAAGTCTGGTCAACGGTACACGCCGTAGCAGTACCCAACGGGTCGCAAACATGAGCATGATAGCATCAAACACGTAGTAGGCATACATGTACAGATTCTTGGCAATAACAGTATTGCGCAGCCACAACCTTGTCCAGGTAATGAACTCAAAAAAAGTCAAAGTGGGTCATGCGGTCATGAAGCTGCGGTTCGTATCGAGTACAACTTTTTGGCAAGAACAGTGTAAGTACCCCCGGCTTCAGCTTTCACCACGCGCATGCCGTGCACCGGTATTACCGACGCCCAAAACAAGCACAGAAAGCGAGCGGGTTGGATTCCTGTCGCGAGGGTTTCTCGGCAACAGGCTGCCTAGCGACCTGTCACCTGCGACTGTATCTCTCAAGACCTTTCTCGTCGCACCATACAGATCCATGCCCCTAACATGCCTGGACCGCACGAGTTCATCACGAGCCGGGACCCCAGGTAAACCCTCAACTTGGCCACTCATGCCGGACGCGGAACACATGCCATACTGAGTAGTGGTTGGCTTGCCTGCTGGTGTTTAGCCTTCACTGCCCTCTCCTTCACCACGAAGATGGCGTATGAGGCTGGTAGGAAGCATATGGAAATCACCACCATGATGGCCGTGGTGAACCCGTCGATAGTCTGACATGAAGCAGTGAATAGTGTCAAAACAACCGGCATAAACACGCACAATCAGCACACACAACGACGTCATCAGGAACCCCTGATCCGAAGCAGCCACAGTGCCTGATGCAGTCTTCATCAGTGGCACACGAAACTGGCGCGATGTGGCTATGATAAAATTAGTTACTGGTACATCCTTGGGACGATGTTTCCACGGCATCATTCCACGAAGGGAAGGAAGCAATTGTCTAGTCGAGCGTGCGGTCTTTAAATTCGCTATCACAACCAGGTACCAGTTGAATACCTGACGAGCCAGCTCTTCCCCTCTAGTCCGCGGCAACGGACTGCTCCTGATGGTAATGCTCGGCAAGGCGGTGTCGGCGGTGGCGGCGGCGGCGGCGGCAGCAGCAGTTTTCTCCTCACCTGCGTTGCTCCTCTCTCCACCTACCGCAACCCCCTCACGCCCTTCAGTGTCACCGCCATCAGCAACGACCGCCTGAAGTGCGGCGGAATTAACGAGGTTCACGAAGATGGGAGCTGCGTGTACAGCGGAAGCGTTTATAAGGACGCCGTATGCCAGCGAGCCATCGCTGTGGTTAGTGCTGTGGTTCTGGAAAAGCCCGTGTAGGTAGCGGTCTTCTTCCAAGCCTAACCGCTGCCGTGGTGTCATCGTGGGTAGGCAAGAAGAGTTGTCCAGGACGATCGCACCGTACCTGCGGTGGAGGTCATGTAGACACCAAGCGATGGAAACACACGCCGCAAAAAAAGGCGACAACACAAAACATCACACTCAAGGACAAGGCTGATCCACAAAAACTACACCGAGCGGGTGAGGGCGATAGAGTGTTGGGACAAAAAGCCGTAAGAAGAACGCTGGTCATTCTCAAACGGCAATCGCCCGCCGCTAGAGTTTTCTGTCGGGCGAAAGGACGTTTCGGCATCGGAACCCTCCGGCCGCGGTTCTCGCGCCCGCAACAAAACGAAGCAACAAATAAGAATTACCCCGAACAGGGGATACTGAGGGCACCAACGCCCACAAACCAAGGTACGGGAAATCGTGCTTCGTTTCGGAACGTATGCACGGACACGACAAATTCAGAAGACAACAACAACGGTGACGGCAATAAAGCAGCAGTGTGACTACTCTACGCACGTACCAACCCCGGAGCACCTAAACTAACAAATCGACCAGACCTCGGCAAACAAGCAGTCAAACACTCACCTAGATGCCCCTTGCTCGTCCGCACCCGCCCCTTGCAGCAAGAAGTCACTCATGTACACCAAGGGCGACGCTCCCTGTGCGCACCCCCCAAACTGATCTTCCAGTGACGGGCCTTCTCCGGGTGGGAGTAAAACGGAGGTCCCCTCCACAGAAATACCGTCGAAACGGTCTGCTACTTGTCGCGCGAGCGATTCGGGGTCTTCCGGGGCGTCCATCGGTACCGGGTTTCGTACTCTAGAAGGCTTCCCGGGGTTGAAATTGGTGGCCGGGGAAAGAAGCAGTGACGGCTGATCGAACATGCTTCGACTACGGGGGTGCACGGGATGTAACGGACGGCGGCGCGGCGCGGGCCGAGAAGACTCATTTTTGTAAAAATCTGGAGGAAAATAACGGTCAAACTGCGTCAGTACTTCCTTCGCGTTCATGGAGGGTGCCTCCTTGTTAGATTTCTTTCAGCTTAGGTCACTAAGCGTTGAGGCCTGTCCAGACGTTTCGTGGGTCTGTGCCCACAAAATAAGTTCGTCCGATTCGAAAACAACCCCACGCTTCCTGCCGGCGCGAACCCTAAAAGGAGATTCCGTTCGTTTCGGCGGAGACGTCAAGACCTCACATGTACAAATCATGTACAAGCACGAAGTACGTGTAGGATACAAAAGTTGCTGCGTGTGTCGCAGATACGTGAGCGAGAGCAACGCCAGACACAACAAAGTCGGAAGCAACCTAAACAGTAGCCAACGACGAAACTCGTGCACGGATTAGGCAACCGATCCAGTATACCCACGTCCACATGTTCACGCCTGCAACGCTTCCTCGGTTGTGATTTCTGTACGCAAGGGCACGTGTTCAAGTCCATCTTTCAGAGGAACTCGAGGTGGATCGAATCAAGAGCAAAACGAACGCGAGCAACGCGAAGTCGGCGCTCTCACGGTGATGGCATTCATCAGGCCAAAAACAAGCCCTAAACAGGAACACGGCCGTCGTGAGTCTCTCGCGGCCCTATGGTTCGGTAGTGGCCTTCTCGAATGGCAGCAGAGAGAGTCAATGCGTTTCACTTGCTCCATTCTCAACACGCAGCAAACTTGGGCCGCAAGTGTTACCTGCTCCTGAGAAGGAGGAGACCGAGCAAGAAAAGCAGCGTCGGCACGATCAGCTGGAAGAATTGGCTCTTCTTGTCTCGCATCCCGTACGTCGTGCGTTTCGCCACGAGTGCCTTGAAGTGCACCCAGAACATCCCTCTAGAGGCACGGTCGCGGTCCTCCGCAGCAGCGCTCCCGAACTCGCGCTTCCTGCTGGTGTCGACGTCTGATGATGGCCAATCTTCTGCCTCCGTCAAGTCATCGCGATCTGTGCGCATTTGCGGTAACGCCGTTGTTCAGCACGAGAGATGTGTCAAGCGATACGAATACACCACCAAACGACATGTGCGCACAGGGTGCGGTGGTGTGCAAGGCAGAACAGAGCGACGAGGCACGTTTTTCAGAAGTTGGATGCAGAACCTCGTCTTGTCCAACCATGCGCAATGCGCCTAAATACGCACGATTAAGAAAAACATACAATGATGACAGCCGATCACCACATGGACACCGTGTCATGGAGAGATGCAAGCCCTGGTCCATTCGGGATTCGGGGATTCTCCACTGATTTGACATCTTGGCCCCTTCGCACAGCGACACCAAAACGCGAATGGCCTCTCCGCATATGTGAGCTTGTGATTACCTTGGTCTAGTGCCTGGTCAGAATTAGTCTTCCTTGACGCAAAAACAAGCTGAGACCTAACGCTCGGGCGAGATACACGTCGATTATCACCTGCAAGTAAAGGTTCCGTGTCCGCGGCGTGTCTGTGTCCTTCTCGATCTTCCTGCTCCCTCCACCCGGCGCCAACCGCCCCGCCAGCCCCCGATTCTCCTCTCTCTTGCCTCCCGCTCGTTCTCGCGCCTGACGCACCCTCACGCCCCCCTGGTCGAGGGTAACTCGAGTTGTAGCTGCTTCCACTGACGCTGCTAGTGCTAGACGGCGTTCCCGGGCAAGGGTCAGGGGACAGCTCCACCGATGGCCGCGTAGGAGACGAAATCGCCGTGTTGCCCAAGCCGGAGTCACTGCTCGGCAAAGACATCTCTGCCCCATGACCTACCCTCAGAAACACCTCTTCTAGGGTGGTGACGCTAACACCGTACCCGGCAACACCAAGCTGTTCTTTCCTGAAGTCAATCTCGCGGAACATGTCCACGAAGTTTGAGGAAGAGGCGAAAGGAAGGCGGTAGTTTCTCTCCTTGCCGACCTTGCTTACCGTCAACGCCTCGGGGACGAAGCGCAGGACGAGCGCTTCCAAGGCGTCCTTTCCGTCCTTTGCCGCCACCATGAGGCGTCCAGGGGGGGGCGATTGCCCCTCCCAGGCATCCCCACCACCGCCGCCTCCGCCGTCACCTTCGTCCGCCTTGATGACAGTCAGGGTGTAGCCCACACCGTACAGCCCCTTAAGGAACAAGCTGGAGCCCATGCACCGCAACTCCCCCTCCGCCATGATGGCGATTCTGTCTCCCAGGGTGTCCGCCTCGTCCATGAAGTGTGTAGTCAGCAATATCACCCGACCTTTCCGCTGCCGTTGGAGAACACTCCAAGTAGAACGGCGGCTGAACGGGTCCATGCCCGAGGTAGGCTCGTCCAGAACGATGACTTCAGAGCCGCCGATAAACGCCAGAGCCACTGACAGCTTTCTCTTTTGGCCGCCGGAGAGTGCAGACGCAGGGGTATCCTTCTTCTCCATGAGCCCAACTTCAGAAACCATCCGGGCGGCTTCGTCATCGACATCCCTAGCTCTGACTCCCTTGACGACGGCGAAGAGCTGCAGGTGCTGGAACACCGTGAGCTGGTCAAACAGCGTGTTCTGCTGAAAGCAAACCCCAAGGGACCGGCGGATCCCCACCAAATCGCTGGTGAGCTTCCGCCCCCGGAGGTAGGCCTCCCCCCTCGTGGGCGGCAGCGTTCCCGTTATCATGGAGATTGCCGTGCTCTTTCCCGCCCCGTTGTGCCCCAGCAGCACGGAGATCTGCCCCTCGTACAAATCAAGGTCGAGCCCTTTCACTGCTTTCTTCCCGTTGCCGTAAACCTTCACCAGCCCTCTCGTGCTCACAGTCCTGCCCTCCGCAACCTGCCGGGACAGCTGCGGCCCTACCGGCTCGACCTTGGGACCTCCCTCCTCGTCGGTATGGTCATACGCCATCACCCCGTTCAGACCCGACGATGGTACTCTCTCCCTCGCGACCCTAGGTTGCGGCGACGATCCCGACAGGAGAGACGCCCTGAGGTCATTGTCGCCGGTGCTCCTGCCACTGCCGCGCACAATGCCCCCCCATCTCCGTTTGCCGAGTCTCAATCTGTCAGCCAGTCCTCGGCCAGCTCCCGTGATACCCGCGTCAACAGTTCCACGTGTCTCCTGCGGTGACGGCGCCTGCTTGGCCCGTCGCCGTCGCCGCGCCGCAAGGGGGCCCGACACAGGGAAGTGCCAAGGAAGAGGTGTCCCGAATTCGGACGGGATGACCTTGTCCAGGTACCAGGCTAGGAGGAAGTAGATCGCAGAATCGGCGAGTAGCATGGCCACCATGGAAACGTACGGCAGGTGGTCCTCGTAGCTCTGGGTCATGTTGGACAGCTGGACACCCACGAGACCTCCCTCGAACGCGGCGAACGTATCGCTCCCCAGGGCCAGACACGTTGGGGCCAGGAGAGAGGCCCACGTCTTGGTCTTGACGCCGGACAAAGCCTTGTCGCCGACGTAGTAGTACGGGAAAAACGCGGCGAAGAAGACGAGGCTGCCCAGCGTCGCCGCCGTCTTCGATCTCGAGAAAAACGTTGACATCAAGAAGCAAAACGCCATGACAGACAACGCCACGGCTTCCAGCCACAAGAAAACCAGCCAATGGTTGCTGTAGCGGAAAACGGAGGTCCTCACGACGAGCATGATGAGCACGTTCGTCACAACCCACTGCACCTGGAAAGTCACGAGCCAAGAACCGTGGTAGATCAGGTCTGGGAGTCCCATCATTTTTAGAGCCTCCTTCATCCGGCCCTCCTTTTCGCTCACCAGCACCCTGACCGCTCGAGACACGGGGTAGAGAAAGGCGAGCATGTAGAAGATGCCTAACGTGCTGGCGATGATCTCTTGGAACTGGTCCGTGAGATACGCCTGTTCCGGGAAGAGTCCCATGGAGACGTTCAGGTACATGCGTTCCCCCGCGGCCTTCGAGAGGATAAATTCGTCGACGCTTTTCTGCAGGGACAGGAATCCGCTGTACGAATAACCCCACATGTGATCAGACGTAGGGGGGCGCTCCAGGGCAGACGTTGTCACCTGCCAACACCCCCAAATCGTGCCGAATATACCCCCACGCACCAAAACTTGACCGTTCGAAATGCAGCCGTTAGGTTGCGTGGTGCAGCTGTTGGATCACGCGAGTAGGTTACACAGAGCAAGTACTTGAAAGCTCAAACGGCACACCCCAAAATTCGCCAATCGTTGACTGGTGTGCGTGGTCGTCTTCGCCCATAACGAACATACTCGCCGTTGTCGATGTTTTCCGACCAATCAAGCCCTTCAACTGCTATACATCCAATAGGTAGATTTTTCCGCCTGGCCTATTGCATGAATCGGAGAGGTGTCTTCAAACGCTCACAACGAGCTATGAGGAAAGAGCTATGAGGAAATAGCGTCGTCGCAATGTAACACCAAGCGCAACACCCAAACACTATACAGTTGTGATTCTTGATCATTGCTCGGAAATCAATCTTGCCTCATCATAAGACCCTAAAGCAGAGAAACAATAGAGAAATGATGAGGCAAACAAAAGAACACGTGGAGATACTGGTGGCAGAGATTGCGGTAGCCAAACAAATGTGCGGGGGGAAAACGGTTTTGGACTCCATGGTGCCGACAATTAAACAACATCTCAAGGCGGCAAGCGCGTTCACACCGGTCGTGTCGAAGCCAACCCTCCCAAATAATACAACGGCGCTATTGAAGGATATCCATGAACATGACCGAACGGATGGCACCAGGATACAAAGCCAGTGAGTGGAGGAGTCAGGCAAAGACTCACCAGGGTGGACGGCAGCTTGTATGTCAGTTTGCAGCCAACATACAGGCACGTTGCCTGTGTAGTCATTCATGTCCAGCAGCACCAGCAGCAGCAGCAGCGAGTGTGGTGGTGTGTAATGGTCCCGTTTATTTAGGGAGCGAACGGGCGATACTAGTCAACTGGGGCCCACTGTCGTTGCCATACCTACACGTCTACCATTTGAATGTTGTATTTGCAGCATGCACGCCTGTTCTGGCCCAAGCTCACTACCTCCTCTTTATTACTCTTGGAGACCAAAGGAACAAATTCAAATCTTCACAAGCCAACCCCAAGTTAGGTTGCCAATGAACCGACCACGAGCACCAGACAATTGTCACCACCCGCGGAGATTACAACATTCCCGACTTCGATTTCAACGTTGTTCAAAGCAGAAGCCGAGTCGCAGGCAAAGAAAAGAGGACATCAAACATAACGAAAGATCTATCCTCGCACCTCTGCTACGATAGGAGCCATCGCCAAGTGTTTTGTTTTTTTCCCGTCATAACTCGGCATCCTGACACGATGCAGCCAAGTTTTCATGCCAATTCGCTCCACAACTGCATGTGGGTAAAAGCATCGGCCAATGCATCAACTTTGAACTAGAACAAAAAGTGGGAATAGGCACACCGCGGGTCGAAGTAAGGATCAAGACATTGCCACCGCCTATAGTGAACACATGTTGACTGAAGACATACCATGGTACGAAACCACCCCACACACCAACGTCCACGGTAACCATGGTAGCACTACACCGCCCCTCACCTGGTCCTGGAGTTGAGACACTCCGTACGTGTAGTTCAGTCTCAGTGTGTAGTCCCACTTGGGCACCTCTCCTTCCAAAGGTGCCTTGTTGAAGATAATAGCCATACCCACCTTGTGTGGGTGTTTCCTGAGTCCCACCTCCTGGCTAAGCTGCCCCCCAGACATACCTCCGTAACCTGTAACGCCAATACTGCTGTCCGCAGCGTTAGACCTCTCAGCTTCGTTGGGGGACGGGAAATCCGAACCCCTGTCATAGTCAGCACTTCGAACGTAGTCAATCAATGCCTGTTCCGACGAAAACAATTGCACCACGTCCGCCAATTCCCTGAACAAGCGGCACGCGAACGCAAAGAAGGGTCGAGGCCGGGAGGACGGAGATATAAGATGAGAGCTGGAAGAACGGATCGAGATACCATGGCGTAGACGGGACGACAGACGGGGCGGGCGGGAGTCGTAGCACTAACCGCGTGAGGACCTCTAGCACGACACGAAGCACAGCAAATCTGAATCTTTCTCCGTAGGAAAACCACGAGACCAGCATGATGAGCTCAACGGGCCAAGCGTTGGAGGACTATTTTTCGCTCTCCACACCACAAGGCCAACGCCGTCAAAACACAAGGATAGATTGCGCTCAACTGACAAAAGGACGGCAAACTCGATGCCATACCATAGTCGGTGCCTCGTCAAGCGTTATGATTTCTTTCGGTTGGTGAAAGAGTTAGCACCCCGGTGTCCCTTCCACCCTCTCAACGTCCCTACGATTCCCAAAACTGCCAACGGATCTGGCTCAAACATCCTGTGCCCCAAGAAGGGTTACCACAACAGTAAGGTGTGCGAGGAACCACCAACACCCCACGGCCATAGTCAAAACATATGGCGGACGAGAAAACACCACGTACTTGCTCTTGAGCTACTCCAGCTGATCGAGCCAATTCGTGGAAGCGGATAGCGTAAATCAGGGGACAGGGGGGGGCGTCACAGTACCTCCCTAACAAGTCGTACCTTGCCCCACACCCCCCCGTTGTAGCCCTTACGATTTCGACGCCATCGGTCCCAACTCACCCCTCATCCCCGCCAAGTTCATCGATCAACCATGATGAAAATTCTTCGGCTGCCAGCATCTCCGCCCCGGCCCCCATGCCACCACCATCGGCGGACCCCCTCTTCGCCTCGCCACCGCCACCTTCGCCGCTGTTCAGGGAAGCAACATCCCCCCTCGACGACGGTATTTTGTCGTCGGAAAAAACATCCATCCCCCCCTGTCTCTGTTCGAATGCCGGTGCCACGGCAATCACGGTCCTCGGCCCGCTGTTGCGGAGGCGCGACGCCAAGGTGTCAAGATCTTGGGAAGGGTTATTCGCCTTCACGCCTGCGCGCATCAACCAACATACAGTGAGGTGTGGTGAGGCCGAGTCAACCGAGAGGAATCGAAGCGGTAGAAGGTTACCAAACACTATACCACAGCACCAGACCTTGCCCAGGCGTGGCCTGGCTTGCTGCTTGGACCCCATGGTTCACGTGACCAATTCTCCGTCCATCTACAGACATTGCCATGCTCCGGGCCGGAGATTCGAATAGGTCGGTGACCTCTGCCGTTGAGTGAAATGCGATGTTTCCCACCCTCACGCGAGGGCATACTAAAGAACAACACCGTCAGAATCCAAGCACCGCACAAGACAAAAGATACAGAAGGAGGTGGGTGTCATTCTCTGACGGACCTGGCCTGCACCCAATACTGAATGGGAGAAGCAGCTCTGCAGCCAACAGGTCCAACACATGCTCAATGTGAGGGCAACAGATTCGGGCGTCGGGAAAAAGTAAGGCACCAGCATAAAACGGATAATTACAGGAAGCGTGAGGTAGTCCACCGCCCAGTCCTCTGTACGGGCACCATACAAACCACGACAAGGTTTTTCTGCGGGGCAAAGGTAGACAAACTTCGAGGCCATGCCCCAGTTCTCTTTCCCAACTCACCGGTCATGTGTCTGAAGTCATCGAAGGCTTCTGAATTGTCCCCGACGGTGAAGCCGTACCAAGGAAAACCATCGCCGCTGTCCATGTAGCCCACCGTCGGGAATAGCTGTCACCGGGCGTGGGGCGTTTGGGTAAAGGGGTTGAATACGCGACAAGGATGTCATGCCGTACAAGGTATGACGTTAGGCGATCACCCCCGGGCAACAAAGTTCGACGCGGGGATAGTCAGAAGGACAGTCAAGAGGCTTAGTCCCAACGGCATTTTCTATGGCATCGCCGAGACTGTAACAGGCACTGCTGACAAACCTCCGGTTTCTCGTCCTAGGAGACCAACACTCCAACATGACGCGCGGGTCGAAGATTCTTCCGGCTGAACGGCCAGGCTGATATGTACGTGGAATATGTTTATATATCGAACGGTGTAGACTGCGTCAGACTAGATAGGACGCAAAACAAGCACTCATACACGGAAGCCGTGGGGGGGGTGAGCGTGTCCATCTATGCGTCGCGTTGCAGTAGTCGTTTGCATTACTCGCTTCAAGATCGCGGATAGGGTTCCGAGGCTTCAACTTGGGACGAAATATGAAGGCCTGCCGACACAGTGCTGTGCAGAAAAACTAACGGGCATCACCCCAAATGGCTGAGTCACCGAGTTTCGAAATCTGCGCCCGGAGCAAGCACCTACCCTGCTAACGCAAGGCGTGACAAGGCTGCTTTTGAACTGCCAAACAAAGTCTGCACGGCACTGTCAACCAACCACACTACCAAAAGCTTGTCGAGCGAGACGAACGCGCATTTTCCGGGCAGCGCTTGTGCAACAGGAATCGCGCTGTGTGCGGCGGAAGCGGACCACACGCACGGCGACTACACCAAAACTTCCGAGACCGCTCTATGTCACAGAACAGTACCAGTCCGTGCACCATGGATGTATCTCACCCCAATAAGCCCCATCTCCTCAAAATAGCCGCCCTCATCCCGATAGTAGTTTTCGGCTGTACACCCAGGCGGCTTCTGGAGGCATTTGAACAGAGGAGACTGAAGCATCGTCGCCGGGTCTAGACTCTCTTCGTACTGCCACGGTATGGTCTGGCCGCAGGTGTAATTTGTGGCGGGGCTGTCGTACACAGTCGTCAAGGACTTGATCCACACCAGAAGCAACATGAAGAGTGCAGGGATGGTCACCTGAAGGCGCAAGTACAAGGGCGAGCCAGGACAAAAAAAAAAAAACTTAGAGCACAACGGGCGTGCGTGCATGTCATCTGACCGATAGACGAAGCGCCGCATATTTCTTGGAACTCAAGCCTGAGCTGGGCAGGAGGGGTAATACGGCCGCACGTGAGAGAACAAGCACCTGAGGCACAGCGGTCCTAAACTTGAAACGAATATTCCAATGACGCCTAACGCTTGAATGGAATTTAGTAGATAGTCTACCTTACTACTTAGAGTAACACCTGCAAATGGTTCAGGCACAAGTGAGAGAACACGATCGTGGAAGCAGCCTCACAAAGTGCGTACGGAGAGGTGGTGGAGCAGCGATACTGAGGGGCCAACCTAAGGTCATGGATCAACGTACGCTCGAGCTCCTCCACGTGGTCATACGCACATCGCCGTACGCCGTACGAGACCGACCCGGTGAATACGACGGTGGTTGGCTGGTGGGAACGAAGCAAGCCACGCACACACATGCAAAAGTAGGCCCGTCACATGGGCTGATATGTATATGATCATTGGCCAGCCAGTTAGCGATCGATGGAACGCACTACAGTACTAGTTGGGATAAATATGGAGGACACCAAAGGCCTTGCTCGTTTCCACTCCACACCCGCCCGCACGATTGCCGGATCAGCGCGTATGCATACCTCGGCTAGCGTTTGCCGCCAATCAGCCATCTTCAGCAAAGCGTTTTTCTTCAAGATAGCGCCCATCTGGCGACAAGCCAGCCGCGCACCGGAATCCTTGGACGGCCGCGCCATGGCCTCGTCCCCGCCTTGGATTCTTGGCTATTGCTGCTTTGCCGCTCTAGCTCTCTTGGTACGCGGATCTCTGATATGTATCAACAACAGACAACACCAGAGAAGGCCAGAGTAGGCGTTTGGGCGGGGGTTACAGAGAATAGCGTAGCCATTTGGTGTGCAATATAAGTACCAGCGAAGTCTGCCGGCGTCGACGCCAACGCGAACAAATCTTGTCTCTCCCTCTGAGTAGGTGTACTGCTGTACTAAGAGTACAAAGAGAGGCTCTGTAGAAGACGAAAACGACACGCACGGGACTACTTTACATTGTCGTGGAGGTGTGCACGTGTGCACAAGAAGAACTCCCGGAGTTAACATGTCCGATCAAAGCTTTGCACCCCCCAGCTATCATCCGGGAGAGTACCACAGCTTGCATAGTTCCAGTAGCGGACAGAAAGATGAGAAAGTATTACTGTTCGTGAGAGAGTGGAAGGATCTCCGTTTGTTCGCTGACGCTTGTAAATGCTAGCAAGTTGAACTCCTATTGCGTCAAACTGTGCTCAACGGTCAGATTACACCAGAGGACACGTAAGCCAAACTACAATACAACCGGCTGCAGGGTCACAAACAAGCACACCGGAATTGGAGAAAGGATGAGCCAGTTAGCAAACGGATGCTCCGCCGTAGGCCATGACATTGAGTCGAGCGCCAACCATGGTTGCAGTACCTGCTGGTCTGCTGGTAAGCGAATGCGGCCTGATCCGTTGCCCCGTCACCTTTCTCTGTGCTCTCCCTTTCTCTTTCGCCCTTGATATTACTCCTCTTCTCCCTTGTTCTGTGCAGCATATGCACCTCGCTCTCTCTCTCTTGGTGCAACTTGAGCTGAGCAGGGTGGCCGCCGGCACGCACCCAGACTGACCAGGCAGGCAGTCAAATCAAATCAAATCGAGGTGACGCGGGACAGCGGCGCCGCAAAATCAGCCAAACCATATGGTACTGCTGTATCTGGAATTCCGCTCCGTGGGCCCTCTGGGCGGGCAGCTCAAGGGCAGCTCAGCTAGCTGCTGTAGCACACAGGACACCGCACAAAGTGAAAGGTGGGGGCTATGCAGAGTGCTCGTGCGTCTCTTGCGGCCGGGATGGCGCTTGCTTTGGTGGGGAGGACGGTGGCTCTGGTTCCTACGGCAGCTTCTACGATCCGTTCTGCTAGAAGGGGAGGTCCCTTCATGAGACTTGGTGCAACCGCTGCTCCTGCCGCCGTTCGTGCTTTGTCCACGAGAAGGCGACCTTGGGGTGTGCCAGTAGCTGCTACTGCCTCGCTGGCGACCTATGCCAACGGTGGTTCTCACTTGAGATGGTCGAGTAGCCGCCGTGCTGGAGCTAGAGCCAGGGTTGGTATGATGTGCTCCACGAGTGCTCCTCCTGCTGATGTTGAGGTATCAGCGGAGGGCCTGGAGATCGGAGCTTCCATCAAGGCCAAGGGTGACGCCATTCGAGACCTCAAGGCTGGGGGAGTTTCCAAAGACGAACTCAAGCCGCACATCGAGGTATGCATGCTTCATGTGACGACCCATTGTATCCGGTTGAAATGCGTCTGATGCGCCGTCAACCAACGCTTGCAGGAGGTGATGAACGACGCATGTTGCACACGTGCGGTCATACAGCAGTCGCATTCTGCACGGCAATACTGCTGTTGTACTGCACCCAGCTGCTGCTGTACAGCAGTCGGTATACTGCTGTAGTATTACAGTAGTACCGCTACAGCGTGACCTGCTGGGCAAAAATGTTGTCGGTGAATTTTTGAGTTGGATTGGCTATAACTTTGCTATAACTTTGCTATAACTTAGCTGAGCTGCAGGTAGGTGCGGTAGATTTCCCACGAGGACTGCTGTAACGGTACGGTCCTCTCCTTGTACAGCAGTACATAGCCAAAAAAAAAAAAAACACACACACACACACTCGTTTGTTCGGCAACAAACCGCTTCATGGGTTAGACGCTTCATGGGTTAGACGGGAGGAAGTTGGTATATACCACGCCAGAATTTTCTGGGTCAGATCTTTCTGATTTTGCCTCGTCCAACAGCAGTTCGACTGTATGTCGTTGCAAGCGTGATTGAAGCATCGATGCGATCCAACCCCGCCGCGCAGGAGCTGCTGGAGCTCAAGCAGCTGTACGTCAAGGCTACGGGCACAGCGTTCGGTCCACCCCCGTCCGACAAGAAGGCAAAGAAGGGCAAGAGCAAGGCACCAGCAAGCGGGGGTGGAGGCGGGGGCGGGCAGCCCAAGCAGATGGACACGAGGAAGGCTGACAAGGCGAAGAAGGTGAGGCTCACAACTACGCTGCAGCAGTACAAGTAGTCCCTGAGAGTTGTGGACATGCCACAGGACGAGTGTAGGTCAGGGTGTGTGATACACTCTGGCACATAGTAGAAGATGTTTTCCGCTGTGTCAGTGAGTCTCGCGCACCCCCCTACCAGTAGTCTTGCTTTTCCCGTGGGGGAGGGCAGTAGCGTGCCTCAGATTGTCTTGTACAACGCTACACCATGATGGGTATAGACATTTTCATCCGTGTGTTTGAAGTTCACCCTTCCCACCTGCTAGCGTTGTGAGGCTTGTATTCCAACTATACCGTGTGCCTGTGTTGAAGCAAGCAAGCAACGGTTACGGACGAACCGATCGAGAGAAAGACGAGGGTACGGGGCTTGGTCTTGCACCACAAGCGACGTGGAGTCTCTTAGCAGCGTTACCACCACGCAACCCTGCGAACACATTGATTGTGTCAGAAGTCGGTCGGAAAGTCAGGAGCGGTGTTCCACGAGAGAGACCGGGAACTTGCTCCCTCCTTTCTGTGTACACCACGTTTAGGTGCTTGTTTTATCCGTGCCCTGTGATCCACTGTGAGATACTCCCATGATCAACGCCTGCGCGGCTGCCTTCCTGAGTGACCGAAAAAGCCAACGAGCGACGTCTATCTGCGCCCCGCAATGGGATGATACAACGATACCATTGGCATCACGCCCTCATGCGCCTGTCATTTTTGTGATCGTTCATGCCGTATTGTAGGCGGAACAAGCGCGTCTTGCGGCAGAGGCCCGAGACCTGGAAATTTTGAAGGGCCTAGAACCTGTTCTGTACCCTTCCAAGGAACAACTCGAAGCCGGGGTGGGGGAACCGTCTCAAAGGATCGGTGACTACTCGTTGACCCGCAGCGAGCACGAGACGGGGAGGGTCTTCAGCTCTGTCAAGGACTTGGGGGCGCCGGGGGGCGTGCCGGTGGGACGAGAGGTATGTACATTAGTGGATGCTACAATATTGCCACCGGGCTACTGCCGTGTTGCTCTTGGTTCTTGCTGTATTCGTTGTGTTGGAAGTATACGGGGTTATGAAGGATGTGCGACCGTAGTTTTTTCATTTTTATATGCACACTTTGTGTGATTTGTTGGTCAAGTTTGTTGTATTTCTTGTCGTCGTGTTGGCCGTCGTGTTGTTGTTTTGTTAGCATTGTTTTGTGTTGCAGAGGGTTCCATCAGTGCCGTTCGTCCGTCGCTTTGTCAAGGTTCCGATCATTCCGCGAAATCGTCACAGGCTGTCGTGCTGTTGCTTGCACAATGCCGCACCAAGTTGTAAGGATGTTAAGATAGTGTACCGGATACTCAACGATCTGGGGGGAAATGTTCAAGTCGTCTGCTTGTCTCTCTGTTTCCCGCGGCGACGTGGTGACTTCAACTCTCCTCGGCAACGTGGTGGCTTCACCTCTGGCAGGTTTGGATCAGGGGACGCGTGCACCAGGTGCGGGGGAAGGGGGGCTCTGCATTCCTGGTGGTGAGGCAGGACACTGCTTCCACGGTGCAGGCGGTACACTTCAAGGACAAGGAAAACCCCGAAGATTCAAGGAGGTGGGTGCGTGGATGCGGACGAAGGCCTGGCCATTGTTGCTTTAGCCACGGTCCGCGTATTGTTTATTAATATATGTGCGTGGGACGGTGGCGTGGCCAGGTGACAGCGGGGTCCGCGGAACATGGTAGTATGAAGAGGTGGCCTGAGCGCGTTATGTGTGCGCGATGATGTCAAGTACGATGCAAGGGTAGGGAGACGTTCGGAGAAAATACACCGGAGGCTCAACATGACCATGAAGGTATTGTCAGGGGTGACCCTCTAGTCGACGCATACAACAAGAAGTACCATCGCCTAGAGTATGCGGTAACAGGTCAAGATTCGCACGAAACCGCTCCTGTTCCGCAGGGTGTAGCAATGACAAGCGTTTCTCTTCGCTTGGGGGGCATGCTCCTTCGGAGATGGTGGCATAGAGACACGGGCTGGAGGTGTCTGCATCATGTATTCAAAAGTACGGTGATGTCTGCTGTTCTGCCCTTTGCTAGAAATCTACAATGTGGCTCTACGACGTTTGCGGCACGTGTGCCCTCTCCCCTCACAACACACGCAGCATGCGACGAGTGAACGATGTTGCTGTGTTTGTTTCTTCCTCACCCATGAAGGATGATCAAGTTCGTGGGGACTCTGCCCTTGGAGAGCATTGTGGACGTCAAGGGGCTGCTGGTGGAAGCCAACGTCAAGTCCTGCACTCAGGTGTCCTGTGCTTGTTGCTGTCATCAAACGTGCCACCACATTTTTTCCTTGTCGCTGTCCACGGACTATGCCTAAAATAGCGATCAAGTGCAGGGGAACAGGCAACGAAGGTATTGCAAGAACCGGTTTGTGTTGCTCGATTTCAACCAGAATGCATGTTTAGTCGGTCAATCGATGCAGAATGAAGCAACCTTGCAACACGGTCCTCGCGTGATGGCTCACCCTTACACTGACAAGCCCCCGTGGATGCACCCCTTGGGGGCGAATCGATGATGGATTGTTTTTGGGTCGGGTCCGACAGAACAACGTGGAGATAAAGATCGACAGCGTGTACGCCGTGAGTCGCGCCAGCTTGTTTCTGCCGTTCAGCGTGGAAGACGCCGCCAGGAGCGAAGAAGAGGTCGAAGCTAGCCAGGTGTGGTTCGGTGTACATACTTCTAGTGTGGTAAAAGCTCCTTGCTGGCACGGCTGTGCCCACAATGTCCCTTTCTTTGCTGCGGTACGGCGAATTTTTGGATGGCACAACAGTACGAGATGTTTTCGAATGGGATATGGTGGAGCATGGGCCTTGCGATTTTTGTTGCTTCCGGCGTTCACGTTGCGGAAAGTCGCAGTCCCTGTTGTTGTGCTTTTCGTCTGTCTGACTTGAGACCACTGCTGTTATTTGTGTGTCTCGCCACTCAACACTGCTGTGTGAATCATCCATTGCCCTCAAATTCCGTGCGTGCTGTACCATGCAGGAGACCGGACGGCCTTTCCCTCGTCTGGGACAAGACCTTCGACTCGACAACCGCTGGCTCGACCTTCGCACCCCTGCGAACAACGCCATCATGAGACTGCAGTCGGGCGTGTGCCAGCTCTTTAGGTACAGCCGTACGTGAATGATTCTGTTAACTTTTCATGTGTTGTTCAAGCGATCCCGTATTTTTGCACGACAATGGAAGTGTGCCAAGTCGAACACGTTTCTTGTTCGTTTCGTCGATGTTGCCACTACACTAAACCGCTCACCGTAAAATACGAGTTTTCCCCCCCCCAGTAGAGCCCCCCCCCCCCCCATTAACAAGCCCCCCCCCCCGGTGTTTGCCATCGGGATTGGGTTTTCGTCGCTTGGCAACGGACGTTGTAAAAGAAGCCAATTCACTTCGTGAACTCGGCAACCAGGGTTACCGTTTTTTTTTTTTTTTACCTCTGTTTTTTTTTTTGGCGAAAACCATAATGGTGGTCGAGTAGATCATGTTGTGCGGGGTGGAGAAACCTCACTCCGCGCAAGGGGGATGATCGCACCCCGGGGGGTTTAATTTGGTAAGACACCCCGGGGGGGGGAAAACGGGGTTTTAAATTTTTCTGGGGGGGGAAAGCCCCAAAAAAAAATTTTTTTTTTCCCCGTGTTTTTCCCGTCCCCGGGGAGAAAAGCAAAA